ACTAAAAATAAATCCTTTACTTGAAAACACACTGAAAGTATTTTTGATGGTTTAACGTTATGCTTCATTCTTGCCAATTTGAGAGAGATTTAAATATTATTTGTTTTCTGCACTTTCTCACCTTGGTAAATCTGGAAAGCAAAAACTTTGTATTTGCATTTGCTTTATGAAGGAGACAGTAAACTTGAGCTCTCAGTCTCGCCACTAGTCTGTCTTTGTCTGTTGTTAAAATTATGAGCCAGTCTCTTTGGCGCAGCCAAATGAGTAATCACCAGTAATGTGACTCGTGCTGGAAGTGACTCCATCAGCACCTGTGACGGAGGATTAGTTACAGTTTACAGAGCACCGCCTCTTCCCTTCTCTCAGTGTGCCCTAAGCCAAGTAGTCGTTCTCATTTGGGTGTCTGCACTGTTGGAAGCTACTGCAGTGTGTTTCCACGCGGAGTACAGTGGGAAAAGGCTTTCTCTAGCTGATGGATGGCTGTTCTCTCTATTTGGAGTATCTTACTGGTTATGTAAGCGACCTCGGGAGAAATTATCCTGACCCAGATCGGAGGATGCAGTAGTGCTTCAGCTGCAGGATTTCTTAGTCGTTAACACCACAGTGCTGATGACAAAGAGCGAGTTGTAATCCTCATCGCTGCCAGGACTGAGCCAGAGCAGACAGAAAATCGTCATTTGCTCTTCGGAGACTTGTTAGGTTACAGCCTCTGCTTCGTTCTGTGGTCTTGGCTTTTCTTACTATACAATGACGACGCTGCAAGTGAGCTCAGAAATGCTTGGTTTGAGAGCCATTTGCCTGTGATTTTTGAAGACTTAAGAAGTATTTAGGCTAGATTAAAAAAACACTGCTCAAGAACAAAATGGAAATGTCAGCTATACTTCTTGACCTTTAAAGCCGTCTTGTGGATATCTGAGATTTAAAGATAGTTTAAAATTCTCAAGAACAAAGTACGGTTTGTATTTCTCTGCTTCCTTTTTCTTTTGTCTTAATTTACATTTGGTTTTGCTTCTCAGCCTTAGGAAATAAGGTCACTGTCTTTTATAGATCTAGTGTTAGTGGTCTAATTTTAAGAATTTTTAACTATTTCATTTGTTTAGAAATATTTACTGTGTTTGTAGGAATTTCATAACACTGTAAAGATTAAACAACAGAGCTCTAGATTTTTAATTTAAAGTATTATAGCAGAAATGCTTTAGATTAGGATTTTAGAATATAGTGTTTTAAGGGAAGTAGAAATATTTATTTTCTGAGGGTGTGTGTGTGTGTGTGTGTGTGTGTGTGTGTGTGTGTGTGGTGTATTCCTGTCCCCACCCCCAGCTTGTTTTCTAACAGTGTTTTTCAATAGACCTGCTTGGGTGGGAATTTGGACTTTGTTCTTTGAAGTCACTCCAGTCTTTTTTTTTTTTTTCAACTAAACCTTAAACCTTGACTTCTGAAATATATCCTACATTGTTTTCTGCTTTACTGTTTTCCTTCAGTGAGATTTATATCAGATTTTTTTAATGAGCTTGATTTTTTTTTAACTTGGAAAAGGAATTGTTAAATGTTAACCGGAGATTATTAAAAACTCAGACTGCAGACATAAACTCCATGAATTTCCAGTTAAATGTTAAATGGTGAGCTTTAACATGGTTGGTTTGAGCAGCTGAGTTGTGTTTGAGAACTGTAGCTGATTTATTTTAAAAATGTTTTTTCGAGGAGGGCTCATCTGTTCGCCTCTTCCTCATGTGAATGGAATGTGGTGCAGCATGGAGCCCCAAACAGGATACAGTTGTTCTAAGCATTCTTCCTATAGCGTGGTAGGCCCTACTAGAAATGCAGGCTCTCAACTAAGTATTTATTTTGGCTTTATACTATTTTTAAAATACAGTTAACACAGACAAAGGACCTTAAAAGAACTCTCAGTCCATTAATAAAATTGAAAAAATGTTTTGTTTCATTTATGAATGTTCAGTTTTTAATTAGTAATTTAATTTGGATTTTCAAAGGCTTTTTTCAACATTGGAATAATAGTCCTTTTGTGATTAGGGCCATATTCTACTGTGACTTTGATCAGATGGTAGCTCATTGCTTCCCCTTAGGCTGTGGAAGTTCCTCATAGCATGGTATATCTTTAGAGTCTTGAATTGCTTAGCTATGCATGAGTTCTAGTTTCTTTACATTCCAGTACACCTAGACCTGTGAAATATTTACTACAGATTCATCATAAAAGCTGTAGGAGCCATTCACCTTTATTTAAATATTTTTGTTTTTATTTTAACCTAATAGTATTTCTTTGAAATGGATGTGTTTTACTTGGATATGAAAATTAATAATAGTTACATCATTGATTTACCACTTTAAAAATCAGGATGTATTTTAACTGTTAGTTTTATATGTTGTTTGTGTTTAATTTTTCCATAAAGTAGGAACAGTTGCACAATTTTAGGGTTGCTTGTTAAATACATATTGAAACATTTCTATAACAAGTGCTATAAAAGTATCAGCACTTTGTGGGAACATATTTGTACTTTAAATATAATCGCAAATTTTCAAATTTGCAAGTCGTGGCTCTGTTCGCTATTTAAGAAGTATGGTACACTTTTGACCTCCATTTGTACATTTATCTATCAGAAATAGGCCATTTAAACTAGTCTTTTCACATTTCTGGTAACTGAGTTCTACCGGTGGCTTTTTGGTCTTAAAATGAGACATTTGTTTGTATTTTAGCCTAGAAACTAAACCCTTTTTCCCTCCTTAACTTAGTAATTTAAAGTATAAGTTGGCCTGTTGAAATTTACCCTTAGAACTCTGACCTACCTTAAAAAGCAGAGTTCTGAGAGGTTCTCTTCAGAAGAATGTTTTTCATATTATAAAATGACTAGGTCTCATAGGAAATGCAAACCACCTGTATTATTTGCGTAAGAAAGAGTCACTCAGACTAGAGAAGTTACTTCTTTTTCAAATCCTGCTTAATTGAATTGTATCTAGCCACTTAGATAATGCCTTTTGTGGACCTTTTTGTTAACCTTCACTAGTTGACCTGACTTGGTACTGTTTAAAAAGAAATAGAGCATTTGATAAAACTCCATGATTAAAATTTCTCTTGAGAAGGTGCCAGTGTTTTCTAGTTTATTAAAAACTAAATAAAGATACAATATGACAAATGTTACATATTTCACATAACACATATACTAGTAGACATTTTAAAGTCTAAATGAAATAAATGCTCTTGGATTTCATACAGGCTTTATTCAATTGTTAGGTAAAGTGAATAGGATTTTATGAAATGATAATTTTAGCAATTTAGTCTTGGTAAATGGAAATGTTAGATGGCAACAGTAGCAGGAGATATCTAAATAATGGAGAAATGTCTTTTTTTTTTAATATAATATCTCAGCCAAATAAAAATACTTTTGATAAAATACATAGTACTTTAAAGATTAGCCCTAGCACATGGGAGGTAGGATCTTACTGTGATTAGGTTTTCTAATCATAAATATTGAAAATAAGTGGAAGTGTATGAGAATTTTTTCATGTTAATTTACGAAAGAAGATAAGATTTATAAGTTCACGCTGTGGGTAGTGTGGAAAAAAGGCATGTTTAAAATGCTTACTTATTCTCATGTTTTAGGTTTTTCACAGCACTTACAAAGTCCTCAGTGAATCGAATTGAAAGCTTTAAAGACGACTTCTTAAATACAGAAATTAACTCTTTAAGAGCCTCTCTGTGCTAAAGATCTTGAAAAGTTTTTCCCCAGAGTGTTTATTAATTGTGATTAGTAAGATGTTAGATTTCTTTAAGACATAAATAAGAGAAGGGGGAAATATAATGGCTTTGGATCTCCTGGGGATTTTTACTGTCTGTGCCAAAAGCTTTGGTTTGCATCCAAATGGTCACATAAGTTGCCTGTAGCAAGTAGATCTTCCCATGTGGTATAGGTGATTTAGAAACTGAGTTGCTTGTTTATTTCATTTTCCAAACTTAGATTCTTTATTTGTAAAGCCACTGTATGTTTTTAGGATAGTGGAATTTTCATTTTTAAGTTTTAAAACAGTATCAGGAATATAACATACTTGGTTTTTATTCAAGCTGCTTCTACTTCAAAACTGTGATAGTCTTTTTAAAAAGTGCATACATAGTACCTTTATTTCCTTCCTTCCTCTTCCTCTCCTGCCTCCCTCACTCCCACCCCAAGATATGGGTAAATTCCTTTATGTAAAAGATGAGTCTTCTTTAAAATAATCAAATGACCATGGATTTGACTTTCCCCCAACCCCACTCCCTATGTTTACCCCTCCCTTCTTTTTTTGCTTTTTAATAATGGAAATCTGGAGAAAGATCTTTACCAAAATGTGGGTTTTGTGTAATACTTCTTACGTCCCTCTTCTTTTCCTGCACCCTTCCCCCATGCTGCTCTTACTGAAGCAGCTGGATTTTTATTTGTGCCTGGGGCAGGGGCAGGGTAGGGGGTGGGGGTGAGCAGTACATGGGGTGGAGTTAAAAGACCAGATGCATTTAAAATCCTTCTTGATGTGAATAAGCTATGGAAAAAATTACGTGTAAATCATAACTACTCTTTTATAAAGAATAATAAAGTAAAAAAAATAAAAGAATTGCATTTATAATTTTTTAAACAGTTGGAGGAATATGCTCTCCTACCTAGGTTATTTTTTCAGAAACAGTTTCTCTTTTATTAGCAGAAATTTTTGTATGTATATATATTTGATTATATCCCTTTTTAAAAATAAATAACTGGAACTTTAAAAATAATATAACTGGAATTTTTTCATATTATTCCTTAAAATCTACTTCATTCCTTTTAAATAAATAGAAAATATTCTATTGTATTAATAAAAGCATCACCTTAGATCACAATATGAGAACTAATATTGATTGGTATCCTAAAACTTTCATGATAATGACTTTAATACATTATATTTACATATCCTTCTTCACATTTTGAGGATAAAAGCCAGAAAATAACCATTAAAATTTTTCATTTTTCTTTTACCAGACTTTCAAACCTTTGGTTGAAAAAAGTGTGCCCAGTTCAATCACTGCAGTAGAATTCCTTGTAGATAAACAATTGGATTTTTTAACTGAAGATAGTGCCTTTCAGCTGTACCAGGTAAGACTTTTTAGATTGCTTTTAAAAAGTAATTATTCATTGAACTTCACTGATATTCAGATATTCTTTTGAATATTCAAGTCTAGCTAACATGAAGATGTATAAGGAACCCAGTGCATTTGATAAATTTTGGTTACTGGATAAATGATTCATTTATCCAGTTAACAAATAAATACTGTGAACTTACATGATCCAGGCAGTGTCCTGTTGTTGGGAATGCACAAGTGAGCAAAATAAAACTCCCTTCCATT